TACAGTGTATGTTTAATGTAGGTATTTGCTCCATATGATGAAAACATTTTAATATCTATGCTAAATTATATAGTATAAACTCGTGTACAGTATAAATGAAATGAATTAAGTTATATCCAGACGCTTATTTTGTGTTTTTCTTAGTTTTTCATTAATTGGAAGTAAATTGTACATAAAATATAAAAAAGAAGAATATATAAAAAATTATCATTGATTAACGTGCCTCGAAACGATTAATATAACAATAGATGCAATGAAAATTTAAGTGTTGCAGTTAAGTAACGTAAACGTAACATCATAATATAGTATATAGATAACGTTATGTTGGGATATGTCAGAAATGAAATTCAATAAAATTTATTTTCGATTTTAGTTTTATTTATTTTAAAATAAAAAACTAAGTGCCTTCACGAGACTAAAATTTAAAAATAACTCAGTTAAAAAAATCAACATTAATATAAAATAAAATTATTAAAAAATAAAGCATTTTTTGACATGCTAAACTATATGTCAAAATTTACATAATTTGTTAAAGAATTAAATTTTTTGTAAAAACACAAAACACACTCATCACAACACAAAGTTTATTATTTTTTATAAAGTTAATTATTATAAATTAAAATTAAATACGATTTTCTATGTTTTTGACGTTTTAAATTCAAACGCCAATAATACATTTACATCAACAAATAGATAATGCAGGGCAGTTTAATTTCAACATGATGCAACGAGTAATGCCGAATTTTTGACAGCCTTGTCTATTTAGTAATTATAATTAGTATTTTTCAGAAGAGTCATTAATGTAACAGATTTACTTATAATATGAATATTGTTTAGGTCTCTACAAGAATTTTGTACAACAAACATCCAATTGAAGGTCATGTCATATAACATTGGAACGTGAAATACTTATGTTATACGAGTAGAAAATTTTCAAGACACTCGTATTTTACAAATTAATAAATTTAATGGTTTCAATACATTTTTTAGAAACTTTGCAATATTTACAATTATTTTTGTTTATAAAGAAGGTACAATATTTTTGTTGATTTTAGCGTATAATATGGTTAAAAAGAATTTAAAGAAAATGTTGTACCATTTAAATAATGAAGAATGATACTGAAATTTTTTCGAAAAAAAACAAGAATTAAAATGGAATTTCAAATTTTCATTCCGAATTCTAATATTATAGGAAAATTTTGCAAAATTACCTAAATTTTATGTATTATGGAATATTATGTATACATAATTCCTGTAATCAGTCAGTGCTATGCACAAATGCGGCCCTTCAATTTAATAAATGCAACTTCTTTATTAATTACTTTAAAATCTATGAAATTTTCTTTCCTTGAATTTTTGAAATTTTACAAATATTTTAATTTGATTTTAGAAATTGAAATCCGTTTCGGATTGTTAATATGTAGATTATTAGTATAAGGTCTAATTTTGAAAACGCGGTTTAAAAAATTTTTTGTATAAAAAACAAAATATATTTGTGAAAGAGAACATATTCATAATCTATAATATAGAAATATAAAGACACCTCAGTTTAACCCATAAATTGTCGAAAAAATTTTGTAGAACTGTTAAAAAAAATGTTAATTTATATGAAACGTGCCCCCATTTAGCATTTCTATTGACAAAAATAATGTTACAAACAAGAGTTTCATTTTTGCTTTTTAAACCAGGTTAAATCACTTTTCTTAATGAGAAATGTAGAAAATTTTACAAAATTTTATAAATGCGTTCAATCCGTGAGTCGAAAAAATTATATAAACCCCATTTTCTTATTCCAAATTTGTAAAAATCCTAATTATTTAAATAAATACTGGTAAAATACTTAAATACATTTCTGTCAAATAGACACTTACTTAAATAATTGGCCCCATAATCTAAACAAAAAATATTGTAATGAAAATTTAAAATGAATTTATCTCGAAAAGTTCATTTTTTGGGATTGCTTCCGGGAGCCTCAAATTCAGTTATTCTTAAATAATTTAAAAATAACAATACGGCTCCTTATAGACCTTAATGATTATCGAACCCTGAAATACATAATATAAACAAAAACGAAGTATAGCTACTACGTTCATTGGTTAAGTTAAAATATCGCGCGTTAAATACTTTTTCCAGTAAACATTGATTAATGATCTGAAATATGAAGAAAAATTTTTTAACAATGAACAGTGAAAAAATTCTACATTTTTTTTTCTCTTTTCATTTGTTCTGTAATTTGACTATAAATGAAGGTAAGAATTTTACGCGTAAGAAATTTAAATATTTTGTAACATTTTAGACAGGTTTATTCAAAAAAAAAAAATAAATATTTTTGCTTTTTTCGATTATTTTAATTTAAGTTATTAATTCGATAGTATATATGTATGTGTGTATACAGGAATTTTCGAAAAGATTATGTATTTATAATATCTACTTTTTTTTTTTAAATATTAATCATCATTATTCATAAATACCTTTTATTTGCTTGTTGCTGCGTAATATTCATATTTTATTCATATTTTCTAAATAATTTTTTTAATGGTTTTCAAATGATTATGGAATGAGAGAAGTGTGTTTGTGTATATGTAAATACTTACATAATAAATATATGATATCAGCCCTGCGTGTATTTTGTTTTGAATTAAAAATTTTATTATCGTACAAAAAGATAAACTTTACGTGTTTTGAAAAATAAAAATGAAAACTAAATTATCGAAAAATTTTTCATAAAAATATAAATTGAAATTATAAACTGAAAGGGTTGCCAAATGAGTCGAAATGCGAAATATAAGTGCAATTAATTAATATATTATTAATTGGAAAGGACTTTACATGTTACGTTAAAATAGGGGATTGTTATAACATAAGAAATTTTTAAAACTTTAACATGGTTTTTTTTTATAATCAGGGCAGAATCTACCATATATGCAAAGTACGTATTTGCACTAAGGGACAAGGAAGTCATTGAAAATTAAAAAAGAAAAAACTAAAATAAAAATTCTTTTTTTCAATTTTTTCCATTATGTATCTTCAGGATTTCAAATCAACAGGAACAAGTTAAAACCGGGCCTGTTTATAGCTTTACCTATTTATCATAGTAACTTAAAATTTACGTTGGGCTTTAATAGCTTTAACTTGAAGATAAGAAAATTTGGAGATTTGTAAAAATTCGAAAATTTAATGAGATGGTTTCGAAAAAAAAATTAAAAACTTGTCGGCTTAAGAGTTATAGCAAATTTTATGAATATCTTAATAATGTGTTAATACGGGTAATTGTTTGAAAAACCTTGGCGTAACATTAAATTTTTGTTCCGGGATTCGAACCTTTTTAAGCCGAGTTACGCTAAAATTGAAAATCATTAGATGCTTTCATAAGGAATATGTGTTCATAAAGAAAATGTATAGTAGATATTTTTCATAACAAGTAAGTGATAATTAATCGATTTTAGTAAATTTAAGAAAAAAATTTATCAGGTCTCAGAAAATTTTAAAAATCAAATTTTATGAACCATTCAATTGCACTTTAGTTTTTAAATGTTATTAGGCAACAATTAAAAAAACTTAACATTTTTCAAAGATTTATACAAAATGCTTTAAAAAATTGGTTGGCAACCTAGATTTCAATTGATATCAATAATATAAAGGTTTTTAAAAAAAAATATAACAGTATCGAATTATTAAAGAAAAATTTTTAAACAAATAATTTTATAATAATTCAGATAATATTAAAAAGTATTTATTGTCCTTGAATATTAAAGTAACAAAAAAAAAGACAGGATAAAATAAAGGGATAAAAAATATTTGTTAATCCTCTTCTTTTTTTTTTGTAAAATTTCGTATTATTTAAAAAAAGGAAAATGACTTTTAAGAAAATAAAATCCAATAGCACGTTTATACTTATATATTTGTCTTTCAAATCAGGAAATTTAAAACTAATTAATCATACGATATTAATTAATGATCAAAATGTGTGGTATCATTTTATAGGCATTTATTAAAGGCCTATATATAGATGTTGTACAAAATTATGTTTATATATTCTATTATATTAATTTATAAAAGTGTTATACACAAACATGGACACAATGTTTCATTATGCAAATTATGAATTCTTTATAGCAGATATTTTAATATAGATTAAAAAAATTCAAGCAAAAATTTGGTAGCCCTAAAATATTAAGTGATTTTAAAAGGGATTTTATTAGTATTTAAACTGAGGAAAGAAAAAACTAAGTTTTATATTTATTTTTATAAAAAAGCTGCAGTTATTATCCCTTTTTTTTTTATAAATTAATTTAAAATTAGAGTATTATGACTTAAAAATCTTGAAGCCTATTCTATTTTATGTAATTTGAGAATTGTAAAAATTAATCGGAAAAAATAAAATAATGAATAAACAAATTCTAATTGGGCGCCGAGAGTATGTTCATGGTAAGTTGCAAACAGGAGCAATTTTCACATATTTAAATGGAACTACCCGGAATCAAATGAAATTAGATAATATCCTAAATTTCTACTTTCTACTGGCAACTTTTTTGAAATTATTTGTTTCCATGTGTTTTCCACACAAAATACAATACAGTTGATTTTGCCGATCCGCTGTTGTTCTGAGTTAATGACGGAAATCATCCGCAGTTGCCGTTCACCGCTTTGATTCTGTTTTTGCAATAACTTTTGCTTAAAAATTTTGTTTTCAAATTTATAACCAGCCGGAAAGTGATAATGAAAATAATGTGATTTATTTATGTATGCAAAGTGACAGTGAAGTAATAGTGCAGATCAAAAAAACCATTTATCTATAAATTTTAATATCATAAATGTATGGTTATAAACTTTATAAATTACAAATTTTAAAAATGAATAAATATTTTTACACAAAACTCAATTGTTTATGTTTACATGCATTTAAATTACATACAAATGTAAATATAATATTATATACTTTCACATATTACATTTAACTACTAAAACAATAAAATTGTTTATAAAATATGTTAACATACCTCTGAATATACAAGCAACAGTTAAATAACGTCCATGTCTTGGATCGCATGCAGTCATCATATTTCTGGCGTCGAACATTTGCTGCGTTAATTCAGATACTGTTAATGCCAAATACTGTTGTGATCTACTAGGTGTTAATGGTGCAAAACCTGGCATAAAGAAATGAAGACGTGGAAATGGCACCATGTTAACAGCTAATTTTCTTAAATCAGCATTTAATTGACCTGGGAAACGTAAACATGTTGTCACACCGGACATTGTCAACTATTTTTTTTTTTTATTATAAACGTTGTTGTAATTTAATCAATAATATTTTTGTAGTAAATTGTACAATGCAAATAAAAGAAAATAAATTAATAAAAAAATTATATTTTTATTAAGGCAATAATACAATTGTTAGTGTTTGAGAAATGTCAGTAAAAAAATTAAAAGAAGAATGACAGATGATAAAAAAACAGTTATTCAATAATTGCTTGTACTTTTTAGGCTAAGTTCTTGTATAAAATTGAATTTTTAAAATAATAATGTATAAAGAAAAAAAAAGATTTTCGTGTTTGTTGGCAACATACGCGTCCATACACAAGTGCTCTTATATACTCACATACAATTTTTTTTGTAAATTAAATTAAATTTATAAAAAAATGGGGCGCATTAAAGAAAAAACTGATGGAAATTTTTTTTTGCGTAACGAAACAATAGAGAGTAATTAAGATGACAGAAAAAAAATAAAAAAAAACGGAGAAAAGGACAAAACGGACGTGATTAATTAAGACTGCTTAATTAAAAAAAAAAAGCGGCTGAAAAAATATTCAATTGCAGTTTTGGAATTTTAAAATAATAAAAAACCTTTGCTATACAAAAAAAAAATCGTTTTGCATTTTAATTTTTTTCTGTTTTTGTCAAACGAAAACTGATTTCAACTTTCCTCGTTTTTCTTTTTAAAACAAATTTTTATGAAAAAAAAGGCTTTTAAGTGTTCACAATTCTTCTCTTTCTTTTTTTTTCTTAAATATTATTCATTGAAGCAAAATTGTGATGACATGTTTTTAAAGTTGATTGTAAACTTAAGCTTGCAATGACAACAAAAAATAAAGAAATCAATTTTTTCGTGACATCACGTCATTGTTAAAGTTCTCAACAAAACAACATCTTTTTCACTTCTACATATACGACTATCAGAAAGACATATTTGTGGTGATGTGACATTATGTTGTTTTTATGACATCAGTGATATCGCTAACAGAATACGGGTGTGTTAGTTGAAATAAATTTTTATGTTCTTAGAAATTATCAAAATTGTCAAAACAAAAGTGTCATCTGTCAACTGTCAACTTCCACATTGAAGTAACACTGAAAATCGCTCATCAGTCATATGCCATCTGTCAAATGTCAACTGTCACATTAAAGTAATATTGAAAATCAATCAAGTGAAAGTGAATTTTTTTACCCCCACTTTTTTGAAGTATAGGAACAATTTGAAACAATAGAACAACTTTGAGCCAGCCAAGTCGTGAAAATTGTTATTCACCGTTTCAAAATCAGCCAAACGACTGCAAAGAAAAGTAATAATAAAAGGAAATAAAAACGTCAATAAAATTTCGTAAATTGTAATGAGTTTCATTTTAGAAAATTCGAAAATTTTACCAAATATAAATGGTATAATATTATTTTGCAATTGATTTGGCTCTAATGAAAAATTAAAGGAAACTTAATTATACGCAATGTTTAGTTAAGTTTGGTTTATTATACGGAATTATGTGTCAAAATATTAAATTTATTAATATAATTAAGAAATTATACTGCAATTGTATTATTACTATTGGAATAAGAAAAAACTTTTTGAAAATATCTTACCGAAACAAGATGATTCAAATCCCCATACGTTGGTGATGTTAATTTTAATGTTCTGAAACAAATATCATATAATGCCTCATTGTCAATACAAAATGTCTCATCGGTATTCTCAACAAGCTGATGAATTGACAGTGTAGCATTATATGGTTCAACAACAGTATCGGAAACCTGCAATATTTAAAAAGAATTTTTGATTAATATTTATTAATTGTTCTTTAATTTAAAGTTTCATTTAAATGCTAAAATTTTTCTTTAATTTAAAGTTTTATTTAAATGAAAATGGTTTTATTCTAGCTATTACTGGCTTCTTTACTAGGTATTTCCCGGTAAAATATCACTTGCCCAAACTGGGAAAATCGGACTTTCTTTTTTGGACGTCAATTTTGGAGAGTTAAAGTCCATCTCCCTGAGGGAGATTTCCAAGTATTTAGGACTTGGGTAGTATAAATCTGATATGAGAGAGCTAAAACAAGCCATTGCAGTGAGACAACAAGCAGTGGTCAGAGGGGAGGAAATCCTTTGCCCACATCTCTCTTCAGTATTCTATAAATTTGCAATCTATAATTTTGCAATCTACAAAATACCATGTAGAAAGCACGATAAAATTTCATCAAAATTTTCTATAAAATATTCATAAACTTTGTAAACAGCTAATGTACATATATATTTATTATGTAGGTGTGTATTTGTATATCTTGTTTTCACAGACTTTTCACTTCGCTGAATAATGTTCCACTCGTAAAATTTCTAATTAATTTTTAATATTTTCTGATACTATTCGATTCTGTTATAATGTTCAATGATCATATTTACACATGTTTGTGTACATATAAATAGTTTATTATTAATGTAAATTGGAAACACAGAAAAAAAATTACTGTGTCTATTCAAAAATCAACTATAATTTGTAATTAGTTATAAATTTATTGTGAATTTCTAAAGAAAACAATATTTACTATTTATATAAAAAAAAAAAAACAATAAACAAAATAAATAAATATTGTGTTTGTTTACTGTTTCACCATTTTTTTTTTTGTTTTGTCTTGATTTAGCTTGTCAATATGTCCTTGTTAAACATGATTTTCTTATGTAATTATTATTATTTTAACATTATATGGTATTAATATAATAAATAAACGCGTGTACATATAGGATACATCTAGGTACATACAAATGTTAATAGAATTTTATTATACTTGTTAATTGTTATACATGTTGTGATTTTATAATAGATAAGTAATATATCTGTAAATATACATCCTTATACATATGTAGGTATTATACATATACGTTTTATGAAGGTAACATTTTTATAAATTATTTTAATAGGAATAGACGTGTTCCTACATACAATTATTCATATATTATATCTAAATATATTTTTACTGTTAATGATTATGTTAATTTTCTATATGTGTTTTTAATTTTATTAATATCCTACGTGTTTTACTATATTATATTGACAAGAATTTAATTGTTATTTAAAATGGTTATTAAGTGTATTAATATTATTGTAACTATGTTACATACATATAACTTAATATATATAATAATAATACAGATTATATATAAATATATATAAATGTATTATATAAACAAACAAATATTTTTAGATATAATGCCTATTAATTTAGTGTTATATTAATATGTGGGTGTATATATAAGATATTATAAATTCATTATTATATATTATAATAAAATATTTTTAGTATTGTATAACAATATTAAAATGGTTTATTTTTCCTGGAAGATAATGAAAGTGATACTAATGATGATTTGAGCGGAAATTAACATAAAATGTATTATTCCATATATGTATATATATATATATATATATAAATGTTAAAAGTTTTATATATAATTATGTTTGTATATATAATTCTATTATATAACATCCAATGTAGGCATGCATATAAAATGTTTTTAAAATTAGGATGAATATGTGTTTCATATACTCGTATACAGTTTGTATATTTGCTTTTTATATTTTGTATTCTATTGTGAATTGTTTTAAATATTCTAAAGAAATACAAATTGATTTGGTATATTTTGTGGGTATAGGCAAATTAATTTATTAGACAAATAACTTTTTGTTCAAAATTTTGTTATATTTTATAAATACATGCTTATATAACTTTATATTTTTTATTATGTATTTGATATTTTTTTTTTGCAGGAATTATATTAGAAGAAAATAAGATAATTTTGAAATAAATAAAAGATTTGATTGAATAATTTTTCTTTTCTGTTCTGTTCAGTTCTGTTTCCAAATTATTTTTTTTTTATAGAAAATTATATTTAATTAAGGTTTAATGTTATTCACATAATTAATTCTGTTCAAAACATTTTTAAAGTTTTTGACATTTCACACGTAATTCCTAATAGACACTGTTCACATATGCGACAAGTTCTACGACTAATTCTGAGTCTGATGAAAGTCGTTTATAAAAACAATGCTTGATATTATACCTTGTTATCAAGAACTTTTTGTTTTTATCAGACTTGCTGCCAGATTCTCTAAAAGAAAAATGGTGTCAACTATTTTTTTTTGGGAAGTTTAGAGCAGCGATCAGCAGATATTTATTTTAGTTTTAATTTTCATAGTAAACTTATTAAATTTTGTAGTTAAGTCTGAACGCCATCAGATAATTACAGTCTGGCGTGTAATTTATCTCAATCACCATCAGACTCATTAAACTTTACCGTATATTTAAATTTAGATTTTGTCGTTTATAAAAACAGTATCTTGAACTTGTCAAAGTCTAATTGATTAGTGCTTTAAATATGGAGAGTAAATATGGAGGTATTCTAATTCAACCTTGCGGTTATGATCTTTGTTTAACAGAGGTATAGGAATGTATTGTAGCAAGAAAGAGTTATTGGAATTTTGTACAAATATTTTAGTTAAGAAAATAGCTATTTATCAAAATCATTGTAAATTATTGCAAGCGATTCTTAATATAGTTTTCTCATTTATGATTTCTCTAATTTTGGTTTATTATTAGAATAGCTTGGATTCGTTTGTATAAATGTATAATACATGGTTTTCTTCCAAAATTTGATCAATTTATAAAATTATTTCATGAAATAATATAATTGGTTGATAATTTATTATTTTGACATTATAATAGGTAATAATAATAATTTATAATAATTATGGTTTTAACATTAGTAAAATAATAAATTATTCGCAATTAAGTAGTGCAATAAATTGTCATAATCAATATAAATATTTCATATTATTTAAAAATTGAAAATAAAATAAAAAAAAATATAAATTACCAATACAAAATTGAAATAAATATAAATTGAAATGTTGGTTATTTAAGCATTATAAGAATAATACAATAATTCTTCTTTATGAGTTATGCAATTACGAATTTATACGTATAAATAAATAGTCTTTATTATATAAGCGTTAAAAATAAATAGTCTTTATTATATAAGCGTATAAATAAAATAGTCTTTAATAAATATTCGCGAACATTTTGATTTCGAAATATTTATGAATATAAAATGCAATTTTTCTTCAGCCATATCCTTGTATTATTCATCCACACAAATAATATAAAATAAGGATTTATAACAAAATATCTTATGGTCATAAAATATGATTTAATTTTAATGACTTAGAATACTTTATTATATTACCGCATTTCATGGTAACTGTGTGCATTACAAAAATCATTAAATTTCTTAGTACAGATCTGAAGAAAACCAAGGATAGATTTAACTTGATTGATTACTGAGTCACAATGGTGTTTAAAGTAGGTAAAATTTTTTGTCACATATAACTTTAAGCTTTTATTAGACCGTTTTTGCTAAGTTTATCTATATTTAACACACAGTCAATGAAGTCAAATACCACAGTTGTTGACTTTCATGTGTAAATAGAATCTTTTTTAATGCTCCATAGTAAAAAGGATTAGATATGAGATTATTTAATTCACAGCGATTTATAAATTAATTCAGATCGCAATCTGTTATTAAGTAAGATAGCAATTTCGGTGTTCACCTTTGCATAAATTTTACATTTCATCTACATTATATACCTATATGCATGCAGCAATTTTAAAATTTCTTCCTGTATATTCATACTGATAATAGAATTAAGAGGATATTAATGATATTCAGTTATTGCAAATATTCTAAATAATAATTTAACAATAAATTGGCGATTTCTGAATCAATCAATGATGCACTAAATATTTTGACAGTGTATATATTGCTTATGTTCAGGCAATATTCAAAAGTAAATTATGTTACCAAAATTATTGCTAAGACAAAATTCAGAATTTATTATAAAATTTCATAAAATTCATTTTCATTTTTAGCGAATTTTATTATATGGAAGTACAAACAATATTATTGTATGTACAATGAACTACGAAGATCAATTGAAATAAAAAATGTGAAAAAAATCTCGAAGAGCAAAAAATTCACGCTGTATTTAAATAGAGAGCTTTTATTCTTGAAAAGAGAGTATACGGTTGAAAAGATCATATACACGCCAAAATAGATAATGCTAAATAATTTTTGGAGTTGTATGGCTGCTACCAAAAAAAATCAAGCAATTTCAATGACCATTATCAAACACATTGGCCCTACTAATATATTTACTTGTACGAAATTTCAATATCACAACTGTTATGGTTTCTAAGATATAGTCAAAAAATTTTTGAAGTGGCAGCTACCCGAACCTGTACCCAGATCGTTTCCAATTTAAATAGGGTGCTGGCATTTACAACATAACTTACTACAATAAATCATTTCTGAAAATTTGGTGAACTTAGCTTAATTAGTTTTTAGTGTTATCGCATATTACGGACAGACGGACAAAGCTAAATTGACTCAAAATTCGATGCTGGTCAAAAACATACACTTGAGTTTATATCTCATTATTTCTTATCATTACAAACGCTCTAAATCGCTCATTTAACAATAGTACTATATCGACTTCAAAAAGATCGATAGTTTAATATCGTAATATTTAAAAATTATCGATAGTATCAATGATAGTGCGCTTAGATAGAAAGTTAAATTTCGTATAAAGTTAAGTTTCGTACATTCAATACAATGCGATAAATTATTTTTAAAATAAAAGTAAATCATATTAAATTAAAAATTAAGAATTTAAAAAAAATATTTAAAAAACCTGTAATAAAATA